GTGGCGTCATCCTAGCTCACAGCAACCTCAAAGTCCTGGGCTCAAGCGATCCTTCCGCCTCAGCCTCCCGAGTACTGAGACTACAGACATGGGCCACGATGCCTGGCTAATTTTTTCTACATATTTTTAGTTGTCCAGCCAATTTCTTTCTATTTTTTTAGTAGAAATGGGTCTCGCTCTTGCTCAGGCTGGTCTCGAACTCCTGAGTTCAAACGATCCGCCCGCCTCAGCCTCCCAGAGTCAGCATTTTCTTAGACAGTTAAAAATAAACTTACCAATAACTTCCCATTTCTCCCTCCCTCTACCCGCTGGCAACCACCATTATACTTTCTGTTTCTATGAATATAGAATATACTTCTGTTTCTATGAATTTGAGTCTTATAGGTGCCTCATCTAAGTAGAACCATATTGTATTTGTCTTTTTGTGACTGGTTTATTCCACGTAGCATAATGTGTCAAGGTTCATTCCTGTTGTAGCATATGTCAAAATTTCCTTCCTTTTTAAGGCTAAATCATTGTATGCACATACCACATTTTGCTTATCCATTTATCTGTTAATGGACTCTTGGGTCTCTTCTGCCTTTTGGATATTGTGAATAATGCTGCTGTGAACATGGGCATACATTTATCTATTTGAGACTCTGCTTTCAATTCATTTGGTTATATACTTAGAAGTGTAATTGCAGGATCATGTCATAATTCTATTTTTCATTTGTTGAGGAACTACCATAATGTTTTCTACAGCAGTTGCACTATTTTACATTCCTACCAACACTGCACAGGATTCCAATTTTTCTACATCCTCACCTCACTTGTTATTTTCTAGTTTTTGATAGTGGCCATCCTAATGGGTGTGAATTGGTATCTCATTGTGGTTTTGATTTGCATTTCCCTAATGCTCAGTGATATTGAATATCTTTTGATATGCTTATTGGCCGTTTGTGTATCTTCTTTGGGAAAAAAAATCCATGTAAGTTCTTTGCCCATTTTTAATCAGGTTGGTTTTTTGTTCTTGAATTTTGTTCTTGAATATTAAGATTTTTTAAACTAAATTATGGCAACTTTGGCCAGTAAACTCTCTTTCAAGCTATGTTTTTTTACTACATCACATTCACCTTTGAGTGCTTTCTTCCTTTCTGGAATAAGATAACCAAGGCTTATATTCCTTGCCCTAGACCTAGAATTAACCATATTTCCATGGAGTCCTAGTTTCTATTACACCATTAATTTATATCTTTGTATCCTTAAGCAAAACTTAGCATGGAACATATGTTCAGCTAATACTTGCAGGTGAGTTAATTTGGAGCATAAAATCTCAGCCAGGGTCATGATATAAGGAGAGTTTAGTGGGTTAACCCAAATAAAATGATACTGCCCATAGACTTGATTTTCTTTGAAAAACCTAGGTATAGATGAGTCAAAGTGCTTTTCTGGTTATTGAATTTATGAGAAAAGCAGTCTGTATCTCTAGAGACCTGTTCTATTTTTTTTGTTTTTCACTTTTTAAATATGCATTTCTTTCTTTCCATAGATACTCTTCTTATTGACTATCAGTTCACTTTTAGCCTGTCCCAGGAAGATGACCGCTATTACACAGCCATCAATTTTGTGGCTACTCCTGATGAAGTAAGATTTTTTTAAAGTTTTCCTATTTTGTTTTGAATTTGTCTGGATCTTTTTCTTGGTCATTATGGGTAGAAGTACTGCCTTAGCAGTGGTCTCCAGAATGGAATACACAGGATGATCTCTAGGGGTGCAGGAAAGAAATGTTAGAATCTACATTTTGTTTCCTTTCCATCTAAAAGGCAAGAGTGGTGTTTTTAAGATTTACCAGGATCTGAGACACGGACTCACATTGATTCCACACACACTTGGTTTGCATGTCAGCCCATCTCAGCCCCATAGAGAAAGGGAGAGGAGATTGCAAGGGGAGCTCCACCATCAGAGGGCAGATGGCAGGGCCTAGATTTACTCCCTCAAAACTGACCAGAGGCTTAAAAAGCACCTGCAAAGACACTGTTGATTGAAATGCCAGCCATGTGAGCACAAGCAGACAGCAAGGGAGGTGGCAGAATTGACACCTATGCTTCTAGAATGAGTTCTTAGCCTCATTAGGAGTAAAACAGCAAAGGGTTAGTTGGGTCCAATAAGAGATTGTCCAGGAATAATTTAAATTGTTAAAGCAACTATGTGAAATGTAGATTTATATCACTGTCATTAATGATGAAGCCCAACCTGCTACAAGGTATCACCTAGTAGTAGAAGGAAGCCACCATAGCATGACATTTAAAAGTAAAGCATCCAGGCATGAAGACACACCTATACAGTTTCTTTAATGAGATACAAAGTCATTCAATACCCACTCCAGTGCTTTAAGAAATTTTACTAAATGTGATGGTAAATTATTTAGGAGCCTTCTTAGAGGTTTCTTACTTCTCATCAACATACACAAAGCCATTTACCACTATAAAACTTCACTCACAATAAAAGTGACAGATAATAACATGGAAAACAATATGGCAGTAAGCCAAAGGATATTCCTTTGTTGACAAATATTATCAATAAACATTGCTAAATGTTTTTAAAAAGTAGTAGAACAAAGTCCAAGGTGTGGTATATCTACTACACAATTAAGGGAAAGTAGAGTTTGTGTTTAATACTCCATTTCAATGATAAAACTAAGAAAAGATGTACTAGAGAAGATACATTCTCAAGAGTGAATGGCTTTTTAAGTAAAGATAATAAATGACTTCAAATGAGAATATTTTATGGAAAAATTGTGTAGGTGTATCATTTGA